CAAGCAACTTCACCTAACCTCATCTAACTCTCACCTAAGCTAATCTCATGAAACCACCCGACCTAACCCCGCCCAACCCCGAACCTAACCCCGCCCAACCCCGAACCTAACCCCACCTAGCCCAGTATGGCGTAGGCCCTGTGGCCGAAACCAACCAAACCTCCCCCAATCCAAACTACCCTGACCTGACCGACCCAAACCGCCCAACCTATCCCTCTTCAACCCCGAGCCGAACCCAACCTAACCCAGCCCTGTGTGGTGCAGGTAAAGGGCGCGTCGTCCGTCGCTGCACTGCTGCCGCGCGCTGAGGCTCCAGAGACTTCCAGTAGGGATGAGATGGGATGCAGCGGGATAAAAAAATATATATATATATATATATTGACGTATGTATATATCTAGACACATATACTATATACCTATATAGTCTTCGCTATTATACCTTTTCCCTAGACAACTAATTTTTTTTAAAACAATCATTGTAGGTTAGGTTAGTATACGTGGATGGCGGAGGGTAGAATTTGGGGTTTAGGGTCAAGGTTCAGGGTCGAGAGCCGAAGGCCGAGGGACGAGTTTGCTTCGAACGAGGTATAAGTGATACTGGATCGGGTTTACACTGGACTGGATTAACCCGACCTAACCTCGCGGAAATTGACCCGAAACCAAACAACTTCACCTAACCTCATCTAACCCTCGCCTAAGCTAATCTCATGAAACCACCCGACCTAACCCCGCCCAACCCCGAACCTAACCCCGCCCAACCCCGAGCTGGAGCCAACCTAGCCCAGTGTGGCGTAAACCGCAAGCCCTGTGGCCGAAACCGACCAAACCTCACCCAACCCAAACTACCCTGACCTGACCGACCCAAACTAACCCAACCTAACCTCGTCGAACCTGTCCCGATACCATGCCTCGTGCACCACCCAACCTAACCCCTTGCAACCCCGAACCGAACCCAACCTCGCCCAGCCCTGTGTCGCGCAGGTCAAGGGCGCGTGGCTACACGGCTGCCGCACTGGAAGGCTCCAAAGACTTCCACTAGGGATGAGATGGGATGCAGCGGGATAAAATATGTCTATAGACTAGTGTAAATATCTATACACATATATCTTCATATATGCTTCGCGGCTCTGCCATTTCCCTTGGCAACTAGATGGTTTTTAAAATATGCTAGCTTAGGTTAGCCGAGGCCACTTGCTGTTGGCTGAAGACTTTTGTCTGGGTGCTTTGGGAGCGTTCGGCCAGACTCCATCTCGCGAGTTTGCATCAGGGGTTGCTTGCGTTGGGTGGCCGGTGTTGGCAGACCTTGGGCTTGGCCAGGCCGGCACAGGTTAGATTGGGTTTCGCTGGAGCTCGTGGTTGAAAGCAGAGTGGAATTGGGCAAAACTCGGGGCGAGCTTGGGTTTTGTTTGCTCGGGTTGGGTTGGCTCAGACTAGATTGCTTTTCACGGGAGCTCAAATTTGGAATCAGATTGGGTTTATGCAAAACTCTTCCCTGGGCCTTCAACCGTCGATCCTGAACCCTAACCTTAAACCCCTAGCCTCCTCGGCACACCAGGTCTGGCCATCCGACGGAGCGAACTTCGCAGACGACTGCGTGAAAAACAAACTTTGGGTTGCTGCTGCCAGGGAGTCGCGGGTGTATGGTGCTCGTGCCAGCTCCGTTGGTGACTGATGCTGTCTTTTTTGGTGATGCTCTGCGAAACTGTTTGGAGATGTAGACAAACCAGGTGGTGACAGCTGCAGATCCTTTGGTGTCGGCAGACTGGGTTTTGGTGACGGCGCGGGTTTTTTTGGTGACTGAAGTTTTTTTTTACCTATTGCCCTTCGAGGAGGAGCAGGGAGATCAGCTGCTCGGCTGATGTTTCGCTTTGGAGCCGGGCAGGGGAGTCAGATCGGAAGAGGCGAACCACACACAAAAAGATCTTCGGCACGGCACGTGAGATCCCCCCAGATGCTCCAGGCTGCTTCATACGAGGTGTAGACTACCCTAGAGTAAGTGATTCAGGGACGCAGAAGAAGGTCCCCTGCCTTAGCCTAGCGTGAGAACCCGACTGGGGCGGGCTGCTACCAGAGCAGGGATTTGACTTCACCAACAGATACAGCGCATGCACTTCATGCATGGTTTCGGTCTGCGGGCGCCAAGGCACCGACAAAAAGATTCGCCTTCTCACTGGGTTTGCGACAGCACGGCAACGAATCTCTGAAGGATGCAAGCAGAGTGTCTGACCGACAATACTTCGGCACTTGAGCGGCTCACCACCCGTCAGGAGCCACCAGACCCTGCGCCTCACCACGAGGCATACTGCTTCCATTGCATCAACCATGGAGACTGCTGCGCGCATTTTCAGGATTTTCCAGAACTGCCTTGAGGCACGCAAGTCCGAGACCTCGATGAGTGACGAGGAGCAGCCTAACATCGAGGCCCTGCCGATGCAAGTGCGACAGGAACACACCCATTAATCCGTGCATTGAAAGGCAAATCTGCCTGCAGCGCTCCGGGCCGAAGGAACCTCATGTGCGGTTGAGATGCCGCTTGGGCCGCACAGGGGGTTTCACATGGCAAGCTTCAGCACTTTGTTGCAGTCTGGTGTCGTCGAACTTGAGACCTGATAAGAATCAAGAGAGTGAGGAGTGTACGGGAGCCTCTCCGGTCAATGCCCCCAAAACCGGTTTCTGACGTTGAGGATGCACTGGCTCAGCGCTCTTTGCTTGCCCAGGTTACTGCCGCCAGAATCGGCCCCAAAAAAGGCCTTGCTTGTTCGAGTGGAAATTCTTGACCCCCACGTGCGCCGAGTGCTTGCCGCCAGGTGTTCTTCAACAAGAACGATCTCGCGGCATGGATGCATGGGGAGCCTTGTCCACCGGCGGCGAGCCCTCGCAGGTGCCTGGCAGGTATGAGTAGGGCAGCACTCCAGTCCAAAATCTTCCGAGCAGCTGTGGGCCTGGCTGTCCCCGGAGGTCCATCACGAAATTGTCGTTGGAAGAGTGCATGACTCCGCGGTACCCCGGGCAGCAGCATGAGTGTTGCATCTTCAAGCGCATCACAACAAGTACGTTTCACGTTTCTGCAAGGTAGCGGGCACCCAGTGTGTCTGGCAACCAATCACGTATTCCAAAAACTGGCAGCATGACCACCAGGAGTGGAGAGTCGCCCTGTTTGTGTCAAACATGCTAAACGATGCTCCAAGACACCAAAGCATTGCTCTCAGCAGGATCTCTAGGCCTTGGCCCTTGGATGACACTTTGGCAGAAGCCATGCATCGTTGCTGCTGCGAGGCCATCGACATCAAGCCGCAGCAGCGAGGTAGCTGGAAACCCTGGTGATGCGCTGCCTGTCCATCAGCCGGAGGCTGAAAGTCAAGAGTCGAGAGCCTCTGGAGACGTTTCTGAGTCATCCCCAACTCCCTTTGAATAGGAATGTTGGTGACTTGTTAGGACTGTTGCCTCGCAGATCAAAGGAAAGGCTTGTGTCAGTTCCCATGAAGAGAGGAAGCCGTTCCCCAAAAAATACCATCACCCAGGCTGCACAGCTGAGCCTTTCTGCCCCGCTTTGGCATTCAAAGGTAGCTGCATGGACCAAGGTTTGAGGGAGAGGCGGAGACCCGGAGAGGGACGATGCCCTTCGAGGAGGAGCAGGGAGATCAGCTGCTCGGCTGATGTTTCGCTTTGGAGCCGGGCAGGGGAGTCAGATCGGAAGAGGCGAACCACACACAAAAAGATCTTTGGCACGGCACGTGAGATCCCCCCAAATGCTCCAGGCTGCTTCATACGAGGTGTAGACTACCCTAGAGTAAGTGATTCAGGGACGCAGAAGAAGGTCCCCTGCCTTAGCCTAGCGTGAGAACCCGACTGGGGCGGGCTGCTACCAGAGCAGGGATTTGACTTCAACAGATACAGCGCATGCACTTCATGCATGGTTTCGGTCTGCGGGCGCCAAGGCACCGACAAAAAGATTCGCCTTCTCACTGGGTTTGCGACAGCAACGGCAACGAATCTCTGAAGGATGCAAGCAGAGTGTCTGACCGACAATACTTCGGCACTTGAGCGGCTCACCACCCGTCAGGAGCCACCAGACCCTGCGCATCACCACGAGGCATACTGCTTCCATTGCATCAACCATGGAGACTGCTGCGCGCATTCCCAGGATTTTCTAGAACTGCCTTGAGGCACGCAAGTCCGAGACCTCGATGAGTGACGAGGAGCAGCCTAACATCGAGGCCCTGCCGATGCAAGTGCGACAGGACACAGGAACACATCCATTAATCCGTGCATGGAAAGGCCGTGAGCTCGCTCCCAAAGTTCCCGGAGGCCTGGAAGAGAGCCGCGACGCAGATTGAGGCTCGTGGCATCAAGTTAGCAAAACCGAGCCAAGTTGATCGCTTCCTTACTGAGCATGCAGATGCGCCGGGGGCGCTCCGGGCGCAATTGAATCAAGCGTCGCATGAGGAATCGGCGAGCAGCGCTTGTGGACCTCAATGTGGATCGGCACAGACGCTTGTCTGAAGCTTGCCACCTGGCAGGCGAACGGGCCGGGGCCGCTGGCGTGTCTCTTCACAGAGAGAGGATGCGTGCAGCCCAGGTCTGTGACGAAGGACTGCGGGGCCATGGATGCTAAGACTCTGGATCCGTCAGACCCGTCATGCTTCCTTGTGCAACTTGGCGTACGGCATTGACTGAGCAAGGGCATCTGCAATGGACTCCGCGCTAGCCCAGCTTGTACGCTAGTCTCGAGGCCCAGTCTCTTGCAGTACCTGACCGATCCTTGCCTGCGATAGCAGCGCATTCGTTGTGAACGGCATGAAAGCGTTTCAAAGAAATTGCTTGCATCTGCAAAGGTGGTTGACATTCTCCAGTGGCGCCTTACATCCGGTCGTAACAGCAGTCCCAGGGCCGGGGGCTTTGAGCGCATTCGCTTCGGCTCAACAGCTGCAACGTAGTGAGAAAATGCATGCTGACAAGGGCAAGCGTTCGCCAAGGTCTTGGTACAGCACTTGTCTGAAATGGGCAGGTTGGACAGGCACGGTGCAGGGGGCTCGTATACAGACTTAGGCGCGTGTAATGTGCTGTGCAGGCCCCAGTCCGTTCTGGATTTTGCGGGGACACCTCTACTGGCTGCCAGCTACCGTGATGGCTCCAAGACGGGGGCTGCAGCCGCCAGCTTCTTTGGATCCCGTGTCCAGCGTTTGAAACTTTTTCAAAGATTCTTGATCTGCACTCTTAATTGCATTCTATATGGGATCTTCTTTTCGTGAATGTGGTCGACATTTTCCAATCTCAGGTCAGTGGTGGTGTGTGGAGCTGGCGAGAGCAAGGCAGACATGTTTCGCAGAAAGTGATGTGTGCGACATCGTCGGTTCAAACCTTCGAAGCCTGCTTGGGCTGTGTTCCAGTGCAGATGCATCAGTGAGGGATGCCGCGCATTACACTATTCGCATTTACGGCAGCAATGGAGTACCTTTTGTGAAGCAGCTGATTGCGGAAACTATGCTTGGCCTCATGGAGAACTTGCTGCTAGAGTCCACGGAAATCAGCCCAGAGGCCTCGATCCAGGTTATGCTGTGCACACAGCATGTTGACAACTTGTTGCAAGCACTGGAGAGAACGCAACGTCAACAATGGGTCTCCCTGCTGGTCAGAGTCCTACGTGCACAGCAGGGATGCCGAAAGGAGTTGGTTCACGGCCTCAAGCTTCTTTGGAGAGCTGATGACGATCCCAGACGAAGCTATGCCGAAGCAGAGCAGCACCTGAGGGCCCGGGCTTTCCCAAGAGCCGTGCGGCGAGAACTTGTTGAGTTGCTGCAGTCTGCCTAAGCGATGGCAAAAAGAGCGTGCTGCCGGTAAGTAAGCTGCCAATCCACGTCAAGTCAGTTAAGTTCCTCGAAAGCCGTGCCCAGAGTAAACTGCCGTAGGGTGCCGAGCGATCTCGCGAGCCATGCAAGAGCACTTATCCATCGTGTTTGTTGGACATGCCGACAGCGGAAAGTCCACCACCGCCGGCCGCTTGCTCTTCGAGATGGACCACGTGCAAAAACAAGAGATTCAAATGGTTAATCAGGAAGCTGAGCGGCTCGGGAAATCTTCCAGCGCATTTGCTTTCCTGATGGACAAGCAGAAGGAGGAGCGCGAGCGAGGCGTGACCATCTCCTGCACCACCAAGGAGTTCTGCACCGAGCACTTCCACTACACCATCATTGACGCACCTGGGCATCGCGACTTCATCAAGAACATCATCACCGGTGCCTCCCAGGCCGATGTGGCCCTGATCATGGTGCCCGCCGACGGCAACTTCCAGCTGTCCATCGCCAAGGGCAACCACAAGGCAGGACAAATCCAAGGCCAGACCCGTCAGCACAGCCGCCTAATCAACTTGCTCGGTGTGAAGCAGATTTGCATTGGAGTGAACAAGATGGACTGCGAGACCGTCGGCTACAAGCAGGCCCGGTTTGAAGAGGTGGCCAACGAGATGAAACAGCTGCTGGGGAAGGTGGGCTGGAAAAAGGAGTTTATCGAGAGGAGCACACCTGTCCTGCCGATCTCCGGCTGGATGGGCGACAACTTAACGACGATTTCCGAGAACATGGCCTGGTGGACCGGTCAGGACGTTGAGGTGGGCACCGAGAAGATCCACGTGGACACCGTCTATGACGTCCTGGACAAGATGTGCCGCGTGCCCGAGCGTCACGTCGGCGCTCCGATGAGGATGCCGATTTCGGGCAGCTACAAGATGAAGGGTGTCGGTGACGTGCTGACGGGGAAGGTGCTGCAAGGCATCGTGAAGCCCGGAAGGGGTGTGGTCTTTCTGCCCACCCACACCTCGGCGAATCCGTGCCACGGCCAGGTATTCAGCGTCCAGATGCACGGCAAGCATCTGGACAGTGGCAGCGCAGGCGAGCCGTGGTTTGTTTCGCGCTTCCTTCATTATGTTGATATCGTGACTGTTGTTTTCGAAAGCACCGCGCAATGACTTAGGACATCGCTAGTTGGTTTACATGCCTTCACCGATTACGGTGCTGAGCAAAGCGTCAAACACATGGCAGACCAGCCGAAACAATTTTGCACGCGACGGTCCAGGTGACTTCGTCGCCTTGCATGTGAAAGGCTTGGACAACAGCCACGTTCCGCGTGCCGGCGACTTGATGGTCTACGAGCGGGACACCACCGTCGGACAAGTCCGAGAGTTCGATGCCGTAGTTCAAGTGCTTGACGTTCCCAATGAGATCAAGGTGGGCTACTCGCCCATCGGCTTCGTGCGCTACGGGCGGGCTGCCTGCCGTGTTTCCGCCCTGAAGTGGAAGATGAAGCTCGGCAAGGAGATGATCAAGAACCCACAATCATTGAAGTCCAACGAAATCGCTGAATGCACGTTCCAACCACTGCGCCCGCTGGTCCTAGACTCATATCATCATTGTGAACAGTTGGGGCGACTGGCGCTGATGGACGGGGACCTCGTGATGATGGCCAAAGTGGTGAGGGTGAGGCGCACGAAGGACGGGTAGATTGAGTTTTGTCCGGATTCCACCGCCCTCACCGGCGCCGCCCCCAGCACCACCACCACCACCACCAACAACAACAACAACAGCAACAGTAGTAAGAGGAACAGCAACTGCCACCAAAACAGGAAGAGCAATAGCAACAGCGGCAGCAGCACCAACAACAAGCAACCAACACCAAACAAGAAGCAACCAACAAGAAACAACCAGCAACCAACAACAAACAACTAACCCCAAACAAACGAACAAACAAACTTTAACACCAACAACAACAGCAGCACCAACACCAACAACAACAACAACAACAGCAACAACAGCAACACCAGCAATAGCACCAGCATCCAGCCACCAGCAACCAGCAACTGCAACCAGCAACAGCAACCAGCAACAGCAGCAACAGCAAGAATAACAAGAACAATATCATCAGCAACAAACACCAAACAACAACAAAAGCACCAAGAACTGTGCAAGTCGGTCAGCTCAACAACAAACAAACACAACAACAAGCCGCAACAAATGACATCAAACGACAACAAACAATAACGGACATCAACAACCAACAATAAACAGCCACCCAGACACACACACACACACAAACAAGCAAACAAGCAAGCAAGCAAACAGCCAAGCAAACATGCACACCCACAAACTCACAAACACACAAAACCACAGACAAACAACCAAGCAAGCAATCACTGCAACTAAGCAACCGAGCAAACAAACAAATAAACACACAAATAAACACACACACACACACACAAGCACACATCAAAAAAGCAATCAAGCAACCGACAGGCAAGCCATCACACAATCAAGCAACCAACCAGCCAAACGAACAACAACGGCAGCAACAACAACAATAGCAAGAACAGCCACGACCACGAGCACGACAACAAAGACAACAAACAACAACAGACAATCACTGACCACCAACAAGCAACCAACACCAAAAAACAACACCAAACCACAAACAACCAACAGCCAACAAGAACGCCAACAACAGCGCCATGAACGCCATCAGCGCCAACAACGCCGGCAATGCCAGCAACACCAACAGCCTCACCACCGCCAACAACACCAAGAACACAAAGTGCACCGAGAACACGAACAACAGCAAAGCAATAGAACCAGTGAGAAAACGGCGATAACAATCATAACAGCAGCAACATCAACGGCAACATCACCTACAACAGCAACAACAAGACCAACAACACCACCACCATCAACAACGGCACACAGCCAACAACAACGACGGCCAACACAGAAGCCACAGCAAGAACAGGAACAATAACGAGAACAACACCAGCAGAAACAAGAGCAGTATCAAGAACAACAGCATTAACAAACCATTCAGCAATAACATGTATAACGAGAAGGATAGGAAGCACAATAAACACAGTACGAGTAGTAACAATAATAACACCAATGACAAAAACAAGAATAAGAATAGAGCATCAACAACACTAACATGAGTAACACCAATTTGTAAGAACAAACAGCACGAGACGAAAAGCACTAAAGAAGAAGCAACAATCAACAAGCAACAGACCACAGGCAACAAGGTTGCTCGCGGAGCTACTTTCAGCTGTCTCGAAGTGCCGTCCTCACGTGGTGGTGGTGGTGGTGGTGGTGTGCTGATGGCATGTTGGTGGTATTTGGATGGCATTTGGGCGTGCTTGGGTGGTATTTGGGTGGTGTTTTCGTGTTGTTGATCGTTTTTTGTGGGTATTGGCATTGGTGGTGTTGGTGGTGGTGGTGGTAGGGGTGATGGTTGTGTTGGTGGTGGCGCTGTCGTTGTCGTTGTCTTGAGGATGCTGCGAGCAAGGAGGACCGCCGCTGGTGGTAGCACCACAGGCGCAGAGCACTGCAGAGTCCAAATGTCCCCCGTGACGTTTGTTTGGGTGCAAGCAGCTTTTCGAGATGGGACCCGTCTCCTGCTCAATCGCAGGCATCTCCCGCACCCATGGTGGAGACAGTGGACACCGTGCCCTTCAAGCTGCCCTTTCACATGCTCTTTCGCACGTGCCTTGGCTGTAATGAGGAAAATAACGAGAGAGTAATACTTATGCTGACAGTACTACTAACATAACATGATACTAGGTTTGGGGTTACAACAGCAACCCCAAACCTTCTTAGCCCTGAGCTCGCACCCATCTCAAGCCTGCGCAATCAGGTCGTGGGAAACGTCCCGTAGAGTGCATCCCGCCTCGGTGAGCACGACACCAGAAAAGGGTTTGAGGGATTTCGGAAAACTATGATACGTTGATCGGCATGTACTCGGAGAAATCTGAAAGCACTGTCCAAAGTGACACGGCCTAGCGGCCTAGCGCTGCTAATGGCCGGGCATGTGAGCATCGAATAGGACTGCACGTCCGCAAGTGTATCGCAGCATGTTGTAGTTGCTGTGTCACACGGAGTCAACGCAACCCCGGATACACTCATTTCAGCTTGCGGAGGTGCATTTCCTGAAACAGCGTGCAGAAGTGTCGACATTTGTGGCTTTGCTACAGCTGTCAAAAGGCTTGTCTCACGCTATGCACGCATCTAATGTCGCAGTTCAGTGGTCTCGACGGTCGCACTAGCAAGTCATCTCATCCTTCAATCCGCCAGACCATCGGCTTGTGCTCGAACTCTCAGCGCCGGACGGCGGAGTTCATTCGCTCAGAGGACTTTCTCTAGCACACTTGGAGAGTGGCTGTTGACAGGAACTCTCGGTCGTTGACCTCTGTTCGCTCGAGTGTCTTTGGTGTCCCATTGTGTGGGGCTGGTTCGGCGTGGGCTTGGCTTGTGCTGTGACTAGTAAACTAGATGTTGATGCTGTGGACGAGACGGCCAACGTAATCATGCTGCGGCGCAAGTGTACGCGTCTGCATGGAATACGCCGGAAACACTTGCGGCAACGGGAGGCTGCAGATGAGACCTCGTCCCGAGAGCCAGTTCCCCAGCTGAGTTCTTGGTGCCATGAGCCCCATTGATCCATACATGGATCCATCACCTGACATGCGTCAGGAGTAGGTCAGATCGGTGGTCTTCAGCGCCACAAGGGCAAGATCAGTTTCTGTCAGGCCTCAAGATGCAGCTGCCAGCATGAGCAGCAGAGAGGCACGAAGCGAGCACCCATCCTGCCCTCCCCACTCCCCGACCCCTCTCTTCCGTTTGTCAGGCCTGTCTTCCCCTGGCAGGCGCCGCTGTTGATGGCAGGACCGTGGTTTGTTCGGTTACAACCGCGTCTTCCGTTCGAGATGCAGTCCTTGAAGTATCCAAACATCCTTCAACCCTTAGCACGAGCAACAGCCAGAAGCATCTCGACGGCGGCGTAAA